AAATCACTGGAAAAGAGATTCAGTTCAACTCGTGCTTTGTGTCGGGGTTCAGAGGAGGTGGGGAGGAGAAAATGTGGGTCCTGTGACATTGATGGTTCAGGACCAGAAGTTTCATCCTCTTCCCCTTCCTCGTCTGACTCAAGTGAGAATTATTCTGGTGCATCAGGAACCGGCAGTCCTTCTCTGTGGGGTACTGGGCGTATAGCTGATGGAATGTTTGGATAATGCACAGTCCACTTGTTCTTCTTTGACACACCTTTCCCAACTGGAGGCACCATGCAGAAGTAACAATTGCTGGTATGATCTGTTAGCTCTCCCCAAATCATTGGCACTGCAAAAGGCATAGATTTCCTTTTCCTGTTCAACCACTGGCGAAGATTTGTTGCACAAGTGTTGCAGCATATGTGTGGGGCCCACCTCTTGTCCTGATCTCCAATTTTGCAGCCAAAATAAAGGTAATAGGCTTTCTTAACCGTAGTGGTTATACTGCACTTTTGTGATGCAAAAGTCACTTCAGCACAAACATAGCAGAAATTATCTGCACTGTTCACACAAGTACGAGACATCTCTGCTCACTTTGGCTAAACAGAAATGTGTCCCTTTGCAAAATCAAACACTGACAAATAAGAGAGCACGACACTGTATGATTTCTAGAGCTGGTCTAGGGCAATTTGTTCAGCAGAGTGATGTAAGCTTTGTTATGATTGCATCATCCATGACTTCTAGGAATAACATGATGCAATTCATATCATGTATGACGCAATCCCAGCTTCAGATTGCATCATTCATTGTTTTGCCTAAAAAGCAAGTACTGTCCAAACCCAGTCATAGATTTATTCAAAGATGTATTTTAGTCATTTCTGGTTTAAATTGAGATCCCTTCCCTTTATAACTCACTTATCCTCCGCCATTCCCAAGTCAAGGGTCGTATATACTGACCCAATAGCATATCTTGAAAACTAGAGCCAATCAACAATTTTAAGCATCATTTTCGTTCTTAGTGACCCAGAATTAGTCAAGTTTGACAACATTTATTTCAGAAGCATTTTGGCTGTAGAGCAGTGAAACAGGTTGTGTGAGTGGAGACAGGGGGGAGGGCGGGTAACCGTGCGCAGAGGGGGCGGTGTTGAGGGTGGAGCTAAACGGAGGTGGGCGGGGTCTCCAGCGCGCGGTGAAGGGGAAAGGGCTGAGCCAGTGGGAGGAGCGGGGCGGGGCTACGCGGAGACCCATCTCCTAGGAGGGGGCGGGGCCCGGCTAGCCGTTGGCCGTGTCGCGCGGGTGCAGTTGCAACCTCCGAGGATAACAAACACCGCGGCGGGCGGAGGGGGCAGGGTCCGCTCGTGGGCGCCGCGGCCCGGGGTCTCGGGTGGGGATCGGCCGGTGGAGTCGCGCTCCCCCCACCCCCGGGGCGGGAGGCGCCGGGCGGCGCAAGGACAATGGAGGCGGCGGGGGCCTGGCCGGCGGATCGAGCGGGGGCCGCGGCGCTGAGCGGGGAGAACGAGGCCGAGAGCCGCCAGGGCCCTGCGGAGCGCGGCGGGGAGGCGGCCCAGCTCAACCTGTTGGACACCTGCGCCGTGTGCGGGCAGCACATCCAGAGCCGGCGGCCCAAGCTGCTGCCCTGCCTGCACTCGTTCTGCCTGCGCTGCCTGCCACAGCCCGACCGCTACCTCATGCTGCCCCCCCGCCGCCCCGTCCCCCTCCCCCGGCCCGGGCACCCCCAAAGAGCTGCAGCCGCCGGCGTCCCCCTGCTCGCCCGTCCCTTCGCCGACCTCACCCCTGCACTGCACACCGGGTAAGTGCCGCTCTGCCCGCCCCCCCGTATCCCACCCCAGGCCGGGCTGCTCGCCCAGGGGGCTGCCGCGTCGCCACCGAGCTGGAGGGCGAGAGGCGCCGCTCGTGCGACCGCTCTCCCAAGCGCCGCGGCGGCCCCCTCTGGAAGGGGAGGGCAGGTGCTCGCGTGGGTCGCCGCCCTTTGGCGGGCAGGGGGAGCGGCCTGTGGGGCTCTGGCCGCTCCCACCCTGGCTGTTGTGTAGGGATGAATTGGTCACGGTGGTGAGTGAGTGCCTGGGTCATGTCGCGATACGGGGGGAGGGGGATATTGAAAGGAGCCCGGCCCCTCTGTTGTGTCTGCTCTGCAGGCAACTTCCAGGAGCAAATGGGGGTTTGTGATTTTATTTATTTATTTTTTAACTACCACTCTTCTGTCGGGGACCTCATCATTGCCGCTGTTCGTGCGGTGCGTCCTGTGTTGTTAGAAACGAGAGACGGGAAAACCCTCTGATACCCTGTACATCTTCCACCCCCCTCACGCTGCTGGGTTGCTCTCTGCCTGGTGTTCTCCGGCACTTGACTCTCTCGATCTAGCTCTGGTTCTTGGAAGGAGCTTCTATTATTTCCTTTTGGTGCCACACCCATAATCGTCTGTAACAAGTTGCATGTCCTAAACGGAAGGCGAGAAAGCCGAACCGTGCAGTGAAGTTTGTGATGTGGATGTGTTGGTGGTTTTGCATCTTCTTACTGATCACTTTTGCACGTTGAAGAGATTTGATTTGCTCCGTACTGCAAAAGGTAGCTGAGAAGGGCTTGTGGTAGGGAGAAAAGAAGTATGGCAGTAAAAGATCTGTCATTTGGTGGTGAGAAAGTTGTTTGTGTTCCGAAGTTTAACTATTCATGTTAAGAGCAAGCTTTTAAGCAGCCCTAGATGGATTTTTTTTTTTACACCTTTTATAGGTGTAACATTGCACCAAGATGAAGTTGTCTGTAAGGGAATGTGAAGATTGTAAAGATCTTTGATCTCCGGTATATTTCTAGGAAATAGATACATAGTACCAGAAATCTAGTACTTTGTTAGTAGTTTGTCAAAAAATGGGGAAAACAGTTTAAAAATAATTTCCTGATCTCCTTTCTTATGCATAAATTCATCCTGAAGAAAAGCTCAAACAAGCAGCTTGGGATGGAAATGAGTGAAGTTGATATATTTATTGTGGGGAAAAAGAAGGTGTAACAAAATTAGAGCTGCTCTGTAATAATGTAGGTAGACCTATTATTGGGATGGTTACTCCATGAGTAAACTTAGTTCAATAGGACTGTGGTTTTCAAACTTTTTTGGCAACCCAGTTGAAGAAAATTGTTGATGCCCACGACCCAATGGAGCTGGGGATGAGTGGTTTGGGGTGCAGGAAGGGGCTCTGGGTTTTTTTTGGGGGGGGGGGCTCAGGGCTGGGGCAGGGGATTGGGGCATGGGCTTACCTCGGTGGCTCCCGGTCAGCGTTGCAGTGGGAGTGCTAAGGCAGGCTTCCTGCCTGTCCTGGCACCATGGATCGTGCTATGCCCCGAAAGTGGCCAGCAGCAGGTCTGGCTCTTAGGCAGAGGTGCGCAAGCAGCTCTGCACAGCTATCACCCGCAGGCACCGCCCCCCCCGGCTCCTATTGGCCGGGAACCCTGCCCTCCTCCCCTCACTTAGGAACCGGACCTGCTGCTGGTCACTTCCAGGGCACAGTGCAGTGTCAGAACAGGTAGGGATTAGCCTGCTTTAGCCAGCAGCACTGCCAATGGGACTTTTAACGGCCCAGTCAATGGTGCTGACCAGAGCCACTGCGACCCAGTGCCTTATGTTCCACGACCCAGTACTGGGTTGCGACCCGCAGTTTGAAAACCACTGCAATAGTAAACACTAAAGTGGGGGTAGGGGAAAGCAGGAAGGGAATAGAATAGCTCAACATAAGCCATCCCTCAGCAAACAAGGATTGTTAAGGGGCAAGGTCAGAACTCTAGCTCTGAATATTTTACTTCCTCCTAGCCAACCCGCAAAACTAGATGGAACCACAAGAAAGGGACTGCTTGTCACTGAAGGGCAGATGTTCTCTGTGATAAGTTAAACTCCTCTCCCAATAGCTCATTATCAGGAGCTACTCCTTACAGATGTTTTCTGTCAATGACTTGGTTACATGTGTCTTTAGCTTATCAATTAGATAAACCAGATATGGTGAAAAGAGCTCTGTGGGTCAATGTGTTTTCTTTCTCATGAATGATTACCTGACATCTTGTATTATTTGAATCCATAAGAGGATGGTGAGCCATTAGGTAAGATAGACTTGCATGTAGACTTGTTTTAAAAAATTTTCTCTGGAAGTTTTGTTTCTACTGTGAAATAAACATTTTGGTTTTAAGAAGATGGTTTGGTCACTACATACGCTAAAGGCATTAGACTTTGCATGGGCTGAACCCAGTCAAACTTATTGGGTAAGCATTGTTGATATATAGGTTGTTCTAGCCCAGGGCCTGCTCTAAGGGTGGAAGGATTGCAGAGCTCCACCCAGGAGAGGTAAAGGCATGTGGCCTGACACATGAGGTGGTGCATTCAGAGACTAGAAAGGGGATAGGGTTACAGCCAGCCCTGTAACCATGACAGTGGGGTTAGGTCATATAATCATCTTTTGTTGGTGTATTCTCTTGAGTTTTGAGGTCATGAGCAAACACAGCCCCAATGAAACGTGAATCCAAACTGACAAGTTAAATATAGAAGAGGTCCATAGTCAGGAGACAGATAAGATGTAGGGAAAGAGTGAAAAGATTGGGACTGTTCAGAGATTACTTGAACAAGAGGGACGTATAGTAGAAGTACATAAAATGAAAAAAAATGGAAAGCGTAGATTGAACACTTCTGTCTTTTACCTTTTTTTATGATTGTGGAAGTGATGGCTGCAACTGTAGTTTAAAGATTTGGTTAAGGTTGCTTTTTTCCCTCCACTGTAAGGCTAGCCGGGATGCCAGCACAGGCTGGGGCAGGAACAGGCACAGTCTGAGGAGCAGTCTGTCAGAACTACCAGGCAGCTGGGAATCCTGGCAAAGTGTGGCACTCTGTACATCAAAACAGCACCTTGGAACCCCCATATTCACACCTGTCATGTAATTATGATATATTTCATACAAAGCATGCCATGTAAGATGTCATATGAAGAGTCATGATCTGCTGAAACCCATTGTTATGGGAAAAAAAGTATATCATTAGTATGTATTAAGTTATGAGATTTTGCTATATATTATTGAAATGTGTTATAAGTTTGCTAGTGACAGACAAAGAAGGCAAACCACTCCTATGAGGGTGTTCGGTGACCATTAATCATCGGGGGAGTTGTAATCAAGGGATTTACAATTCAATGACAATTGCGCAAGCACCACACAATGGGGACTGCTCAACTCTAGGACTCAGTTGCACAAGACCATACCAGGGAGATTGCTCAACCCTGTGACTCATCAAAGCCCACCAGGACATGTCTGGGCTAGTATTTTCCAAGCACGTGAACTGAGGATATAAAATAAGGGACAGTGGCATCGTGCCTTGGCCTTTCTCCTCCCCCACCTATGCTTGAAGCAACAAGAATGTTGAAAAGACCGACTTCAACAGAGGAGACTGGCCCCAGGATAGAGAGAGAAGCCTTTGTATTAAGTATCGTAACTTCTAGTGGGGTGAGAACTGCTTGATCTAATAAGGTTTAAGATTTAGACTGATTTTCTTGGTAACTGTCTCTGACCTTTTATGCCTGCCACTTATAATAACTTAAAATTTATCTTTCTGTAGTTAATAAATCTGTTTTATATTTACCTAAAACAGTGTGTTTTGGCTGAAGTGCTTGGGAAATCTCAGCTTGGTTTACAAAGGCTTGTGTATGTCCTCTCCACATTGAGGGGGGGCGGACTAGATAATAAACTTACACTGGTTAGGCTTCGGACCAGGGCAAGATGGTACAGCTCTGGGGTGCAAGGTTGGAAAGCTGGGGGAAGTTGGCTGGTGTTATTTGTGAGTGTCTGGCAATCTTATCTGGTGGGCTCCACATGCTGTTGTGCTGAGTGATCACAGTACCTGGAGGGGTTTGCTGCTAGTAAAGTATTGTGAGAGATAGCTCATACTGGAGAGTTAAGGGGGCACAACAGTACCCCAGTTCCAGGTTGTACCCTGGGGATCCTGTCACACAACGTAGCAGTCTTGTGCAGGCTGAAGTGGCTTGTTTCCTAAGGAGCCTATATACCTTGTTTTGGGGTCTCCTAAAGTTAGGCTCTTGCTTGTGGATTGTCTGGGCCCTGATTCATTAGCATCGGCCTATCAGAGGACTTGCAGGTAATTACCTCAGAACACTCACTGGCCTCAGGGATGACTCATCACACCCACTTCACAAAGAAGTTGAATCCCTGCTTACCTTATTGAGAATACAATGTATCTCCTTTCAACACTTACCGCATTATAGTTCAGGTCCATTGTGACATGAGAACTCTTGACCAAACTGAACCAGAGTCACTTAATGCATTATGCCTACACCTAGGATGAAGTTGAAAACTACTGCTTATGAAGCTAGTTATACGTAATGCTGGTGCTGCAGTGGTGGTTATACCACATATATGGAATGAAACTGTACTAATGTTGGGTGAGTTTTACCACACGCTTGGGGTCAAGACACTCAGGTTTATTAATTCAGACCTTTGTTTGAACCAAAAACATGGCTTTGCAGTTGCAATTACTATAAAAGCAATGAATGACAGCTACACAGAAAAATAAATTGATCCGTTACCTTCTCCTGGGGCATAGATGGGTCACAAGAAATTTCCCTTTACATTCTAACATCTATACCATTCCAGATTATATGACCATCCAGTCAACATTAAGCATTGTTTTACATAGCAAATACAATACCATGTGAAAGCTTCAGTTTACAGACATTTTTCTGCCCATGCTATTTCTCTGTCATGTTTCTTTTCTTATTACCACTAATCATGCATGCTGGCCAGGCCTTTCAC